CACCGCAGAGAGAGAAGGAAAGTGAGAAAACGAGCTACCAGGTCCATGACTCAAACCATGGTTGGCCATGTGGGAGTCCAGCACCTTAACTACCACACCACCTGCTCAGTCCCACGACAATCTACTCCAGAGAAGCCAGCTAAGTTCTGAATCCTCTCCTGGTCAGCCTGAAGTATCAAGGCATGCATATGAGTGCCTGAGACCCATGGGATGAATGGGACGGTGGAGATGGAGGGGTGGCCAGATCTGTGGAGGGTGTGCCTCTCTCCTCTATCTATCTCCTGCAAGCGCATGAGCTCTATCATAAATATTAAAAAAATTGAAAATGTTTTTGATGGGTATGTGACCACTGCAGTTTACATTCCTGCCAGTAGTGTGTCTGCGTCCCTGCATGGTGGGATGTGTGTGTGTGTGTGTGCGCGCGCACTTATACAAATCGTTGTATAACCAGCACATTATCGCGAGTCTCTGTCCCACACCAGGCCTAGCTGAGACATTTTCACAGCTGACCTCTCCAAAGCCCTCCCTCCTCTAGGTCCCTTCCTCCCTGTCCTTCACTCCTTCACAGGCAACCAGCCATCGCTTCCTGCCAAGGTTATCTCCGGCTCCCAGCCTAGCCTCCTTCCTTCCTTTTCTCTTTATTCTGCCCCAGTTCAGAACTATCTTCCACCTTCGGGAATATGGCTATAGTCTCCCAATATGGTCTCGTGTCCCCAAACTGCCCGACTCCTGCTCAGCGTCCCTCCAGGTCCTGGATGGTGCCCACTCTCTACACGTAAAAGGCCACTCGGCCAAAGATGTGCACTGTCAGTCCCCTCCTGCTTTCTGCAGCCTCATTTCCCATCATCCCTCCCTGTGTGTGCCATTCCGAAATGTGGCTTCTCACACTCCCCACACTCCCACTCCCCACGCTCCCCACACTTCCTGCTGTGGCCGGCTTAGCTAGGACAGCTTCCTCTCTGGGTGCACCCTCCTGGTTCAGTCCATCCTCACCCCTTTTCCCAACCTGTGTGAGCCTCACCCCTGCAATTCTTTCAGGGCTGCCCAGGTGTTCCCTGTGTGCCCCTGCCTTCCACTGTCTCCTTTCCACTGCATTTATGGCATTAGGTGTTGAGGTCATTGCTCTTTCTCCACACTCGGGTGCCAGTTCCTTGACAGCAGAGGCCTGGGCCGGTCCTGGCACCGTGCCTGGCACACAGCAAGCACCCACACATGTGGTTGAGTTGAGCACTGTGTGGGTGGAGGGTGGGTAGGTAGTGGTGGCAGGGAAGCCTCACTGCGGTCTCATTGAAATCTGGGAACCCTGGTGGCTCCTCTGTCAGCCCTCTGGGATGCAAATGGGGGGGTGGGGGCAATGTTTGCACGGTGAGCAGGAAATAGAACAGGACCCAGAGGAGGAGGCTGAGGCCAGGAGGGCTGGGAATTCGTCCTGGTCAGAGCAGGGGCTGCCCAGCCCAGAGCAAAGCTGACTGGAGGATACTAAGGGCTTCTCATTCCAGGTGGGTGCTTCCTGGGGGTAAGGGGGGAGTTAAGGTGCAGTTTCACATACAACCCAGATCCCTCTCACACATACCGTGGGGAGGGAGGGGGTCATAAACCTAGGGGCACCAGGAGGCAGGCTTAGGAATGAATTCACAGGTAAGTGGATGAGGAGTAGGAGGAATTTGGGAGTGGGTGGGACCTGGGGACAGGACCAAGAGTTGGGAGGGGACATCATCCTCCGTGTGTGTGTGTGTGTGGTGTGCGTGCGCACGCGCGCATGCACGCGCGAAGTGGGTCGCCAGAAGCTCCCCAACCCCGGGAGAGGGGTGAATGAAATGGGCCTTCCTCATTCCAGCCCCTGAGCTGTGAGGCAAAGCAGGCCGGGCAGGGCTGGGAACCGGGAAGCCTTGACGTCGGCGAGGGCAGTGAGGCCCCTAGTGGCCAGCGTGGGAAGCAGGAGAGGACGGGTCTGGGAGTGGCCAGAGGGCACTTCCTGCCAGGGCCTACGGCTGCCCAGTTTTGCAAAGGAAGTGCTGCCAGGGCCAGAGGGGACAGGGCCAGGAAGTAGGGCAGGGGCTCAGTCCTTTGCGTGGCCAGCGATCTTGCAGGCCGCACGCGACAGCCCAGCCAGCAGATTCCGCAGACCTCCGCTACCTCGGCTTTGGGGTGCCTAGCTCGGCTCTACACTTCCAGCCCCCAGGACCTCACGAGCCCCGCCCCTGCCCGCTTCGGGCAGAGACCCCGCCCCACCCCTCCCCCACGAATTCCAGGGGCCGAGCACGCCCGGC